TTTTGATTTTGGGGTTTGTTGTTTAAAGGACAATTATCCCACATACATTGAATTGCCGTTTTCATTATATACTAAACTAGCTTCCTGACTGTCTAGCCTCTTTTACATATTTATCAAATCTTGCCATTAACACCCTCTATTAGCTACTATAACTTTATTTTCTATTTGGAAGTCCACCTCATTAGTCTGCTTCCAATTTTCTTGGTTATTTGCAAGCATATTTATTCCAGCAAATAATTCTTAAGCAGAATTTTTTAAGTTCCAAAATAAAATTTCTTTGGGATTTTTGATTAAAATTTATTTTAATCAAATTTTTGTATCTAAATATAGTTTTCTGATGAGAAAACATTGTTTCTTATTTCTTCTGGATTTCTCATTATTGTAGTGTTTTCTTCATAAAGTGTCACACACTTTTATAGCTTTGTTATTTCTGAATAGGACCAACTTAAAATATGCTTTTTGTTGGCAAAAGCTATGTTTATTTATCTAGCACTCAGTCACCTTACTAAACTCCCTAATGAGTTCTTTTTTGGATTTGCTTCTCTAGAATTTTCTACAATATTTTCATCTGTAAATTATTTCGTCTGTAAGATATTCTTGTCTTTTTCTACTCAACATTTATGCTCCTTATTTTTTTTCTTGATTTTTGCCCAGCTAGGACCTCTAGAAGAATGTTACACAAAAGCATTTATATCAGATATTTCTACTCATCTGTAAAAACTGAGTCATGACATAGGAAGTTTCCTGGATTTTCTTATCCCTTGATCTATCCAGGTTAAGGAACTTTTTCTCCAATATTTTCATAATAACTCAGCATGGGTATATTGCGGCATGAATCACATGGAGTAACTGTTTATGAACTCTATAACCAAAGCAAATTTATACATTAAATATTTACACCCCAGCATGATTGTAATTAATAAATTGGCTTAAAATGACAGGTAATACTGTTTTGCTGAAATTAAGTTGCCAATTTTGGATTAATAGTATAAATGGATGCTCATATCTGTTTCTATATAATCTGTCTCTAATTTTCCCCCTAATTTTTGAATTGTGGTAAAATACACGTAAAATTTACTATCTTAATCAATTTTAAATGTATAGTTCCGTGGTACTAAGTATATTTATATAACGATGCCATGACCATCACCATCTATCTCTAGTACTCTGTTCATTTAGTGAAACTAAAACTCTATGAGAGTTTAATTGCATTAAACAATTACCCCCTGCCTCTTCTGCCATTACTCTTTCTCCCCAGTCCCTAGAATCTATTATTTTACTTCCTGTCTTTACATTTTGACTATTCTAATTACCTCATAGAACTGGAATCATACAGTATTTATTTTCCCACGATAGGCTTATTTCACTTAGTATAATGTCTTTGAGGTTCATCCATGTTGTAATATATGGCAGAATTTCCTTTCTAATCCTGAATTATATCCCATTATATGTATATATCATATTTTCCTTAACCACCCATCAACAAGTGGACACTTAGATGGCTCCCACATTAGCTATTGCAGATAATGTAGCCATGAACATCAGTGTGCATATATCCCTTTAAGACCATTTTAAATTCTTTTTCAGTATATTCCCAGAAGTGGAATTGCCAGATCATGCGATAATTCCAATTTTCAACTTTTTGAGGAACTTATATTCTGTTTTCTGTAGCAATTACCACATTTTACATTCCTATCAACAGTGTGCAAGAGTTTCAATTTCTACACATCCTCCTCATTTATTGTTTATTTTTTAAAATAACAGTCAGACCAACAGGTGCCATGTGGTATCACACTGCAGTCTTCATTTGCATTTTCCTAGTAAGAAGTGATGTTGAGCATTTTCTCTATGCTTCTTGGCCATTTGTAGATCTTCTTTAGAGAAGTTATCTATGAAAGTTTTTTGCACATTTTTAACCAGGCTGTTGTCTTTGTGTTCTTGCCCCTATGTCTTTTAAATGGAGACCATCCATTTGATTGAGAATGCTTCAGAATGATTTTAATAACTTAGGTCTTTGTGTGTTATTTCAGGAAAATCAGGCTTTATACTTAACCAAACCCTGGCTCTATGCAATTCTGAAATGCCAATTTTAATGAGCTGTCATTTGCTACCTTAGTGAGGTTGGTTTATTCCTTTGAAGGGAAGGTTATCTTGGGGGAGTTATTGCAAAGTGCATTATGTGGAAATATAAAATCAGATGCACAGAAATTCATCATATCATTTGGTTTATATTAATGGCTTATCGGTGGTGCAAGTTGGTACACATAAGAACATGGTAAGTGATTACATGGTAAATGATCTAGTGAAAATTCTCCCTAGACAGACATGTCTAAACCACTGAGGACTGCCTAGTAACTAAGTTTCTGTAGCATATTTTTGTCTTAAGCTAGTATAGTCCATAGCACTTGTTTACATAATGTATCACATCATGTAAAAAATGTTAGAAATTATTTATGAAGCACTGAGGTAGATTTTTTTTTCTCATAACCAAGTGTCATGTAAGGGAGTTCAGTTTTCAGATTTACTCTCAGAATAAAGAAAGAAAGCTGTATTTATAAGTTTTACTACATGACAGTTGGATTTTCTGATTGAGTAATGTTTCATTCAAGTTTGATTTAAAAAATAATACAGTAGTTTCTGTCTTTGATAACAAAAGTGTTTTGGGACATTTTTTAGGATAGTCCTTCAACTTATGAGATGTCACTCAGAAATCAAGGCCTGTAAAGTCTGATACTAAGGACCGGTAACACTGATGTTTATGTCATTTAAAAGGATATATGTAAACTAGCTTCACAATGTGATGCTGTAAATTCTTCTTCATAATCAGCCAGAAGTGTAACATGTATGTAAATAAGCTAAAATGGCTCAATATCCTGTTACATTTTGTATTGGAAGGAAGCAGATAGGCAGGCAGGCAGGCAGGCTCGCTGGCTGGCTGGCTTTTAAAACTACAAATCTTTTAATTCTTAAGGTCAATTTCAAGTGCCACCCCTACATTTAATCTCTCCATCAGAGGTAATCATTCTTTGGATCCCATAGAACTTGGTTTGTAACTCAGTTACTACACCTAAAGCTAAAAATGTTTTATCTTGACATGTCTTACTTGTTCAACCATCTGTGGGATCTCTGCACTCCCAATGCTTGCTAAGATTCTGGCATATAACAATTAGCAAATGTTCAATGAATAGATTAATAAACATGGAGGCCATTTTCTCTTTGCCAAAAGCTGCCACCAAACACCACTATGTACAGTTGTGAAACTCAGTGTTGTTTCCAGCTTCAGCCACATCATTCAGTGGAGCTGATGAAGTCCTCGGCCTCGGCAGAAGGCCAAACTGAACTTTATAGAATATGCTGTTAAAGTTTTTGGCCCCTTGGAGTACAAGGCGCTGAAATCAGGTTCCCAGGTCCATTTATGGATAAATGGAATTCAAAACTTCTCCACAGGGAATAACTAGGAAAATCTGGAGACATGCCATACACATACCAGAATGCATTCTTCATAGTCCCGAAATTCACTGAAGGAGCACAGTGTAAAAGCACCCAAAAAGTTTGTGGTACACTTTGTCATACAGACTTCTCTGAACAGAAGAGAACCCAAGCTGCTCTCCAAAAGTGGGACCTGATCCTGTGCTTCCTCTGGTCACTCTTCTTGGGTCTAGATACAAAATGTCCATGGAAAACAGGTAACCAAGCTCCCACTCTCCACCGCCCAACAACAATTTGCCAGAGACTGAGGGATTTCTGGAAATGCAGAAATTTCAATGCTATAACAGTCCTAGGGAAATTGGGAAGGCTGGCCATCCCAAATAGGTAAAACACCAGTAGCTACCTATCAATTCCCCTGGTAGACAGAAACAGTTAGGTAAATCCAGGCCTTTGGGGTAGTAAGCACATGTATAGAATGTCAGACCAACACACCCTTCTTTTACTGAACTGTGACATTTCTGTAGTTAGAGCAATGTATCTCAAACTTTACTAGGGAACCGCATCACCCAGAGAGCTTGTTAAAACAGACTGCTAGACCCTGTGTTCAGAGTGTCTTAATTTAGGAAGTCTAGCATTCAGCTTTAACACTTGCATTCTTACAAGTTATCAGATGATGGTGATGATGATGGTCTAGGGACTCGGTTTTGAGAACCATTGCACAGGGAAATTTTGCATATTGCCATCTGCTTGTGAGACTAATTAACATGCAGGAAAAAAAGGGTCAGTTGAAAGTATAAAGGGATGAATTAGCAATATGAAGCACAGACTTTCACAAGAATTAATTTTCTTCTCCTTTCTTAAGCATATCTCAGTGGTGAGTATGGTTTGAAAAATAACAATATACAAAGTATAATAAAGAAAGTTTAAACTTCTATGAAAGATTTTGCAGTGATGTAGAGGGGTTTTCCATTGTTGGGTTACTTTAATGACTGTGGTTTCTCTGGAAAGAAAGCCACTGCAGCATAGTTCTGATGACATTTAGTTCCTCTTAGGAATGTTCAAACCAAAAAGTTGAAATAGCTTTTGTACTTAATTGAGTCACCATTGTACAATTATCATTCTCTCAGGCATACTAATTAGAAAAAAAGTACAGGCTGATAATGCAGTTGGCATTTCTTTCAACCTATGCAAACTTTTAGATGTAAATGAATATGTAACAAACATATAAAAGCAACTCCATATTGTAAATATGCATTCAATTTTATGCCCAAATTCTTCGCTTAGAAATGTCTATTCCTTCCCATCAGTACATTCATTTTTCCTTCAACTGTGGAAATATGCTTCTTATCTTCAAAGAAAGGTTCCTGACTGTGCTCATTTAGGGGCTGTATTTGAACTTGGAGAAACTGAGCTTGGTACTTTTGTGACATGATTCTTATATCTATAAACAGTTTCTAGGGAAATGGTTCTGAAAGAGAAAAATTTTACTATTGTGATGCATAAAATGAATTTGTAAATATGCCACTCTCAGAGACTCATTTTCCATAACAACATGTTGTTTCTGTCCGCAGCGTGCTGGTGGTGGGCTCGCCATTCCCTTGTGTGCATTCCAGGGGACGGTGTCTCTCCAGGCACCTACGGGGAAAACCCTCTCTCTTTCTACATACGAGGTAAGCACAGAAGGGCAAAAAATAACCCCGGCCTCTAAGAAAATAGAAGTCTATCGATCTAAAAGCGTTGGCCATGAACCAAACTCAGAGGAGTCTCACTCCACATTTGCGGACACCAGTGTGAAAATACACCTCGAGGTTCTTGAAATTTGCGACAATGAGGAGGCCCTGGACACTGTGTCAATCATCAGCAACATCAGCCAGTCCTCCACCCAAGTCAGATCCCCGTCGCTGCGCTACTCACGGAAAGAGAACAGATTTGTTTCATGTGATCTAGGGGAGTCGGCTTCCTACTCCCTTTTTTTACCCACCAGCAATCCCGACGGAGACATCAACATCTCCATTCCAGACACTGTGGAAGCTCACAGACAGAACAGCAAGAGGCAGCACCAGGAAAGGGAGGGCTACCAGGAGGAAATCCAGCTGCTCAATCAAGCTTACAGGAAGAGGGAGGAGGAAGGCAAGGGGACTTAGCAATGGGCCTTCTCTAACAGGCAGAGGGGACCTTGCCACCATACACTGCGCACCAGCCCTCCTTCCAGGACTGAGGTCCTGCCATCTCCCGTGGGTGTGAGCTTCACTGCTCTACTAGTTGATTATGCTCAGTGTGAGGAACTGGAACCAGTGCAGACACTGAGTGCATCTTATGTGCTACCTAAGATCACACACTGTGGTAATTAAATGATTTCCTGTCTTATCTGATTTCTAAAAAAAATCTTTTCTAAGTCAAATCCTGGCCTAGTTTACTAATGTGTTTGCCTGTGTTTGTCATGTGCATATACTGATCCCACGCACATGTTTCTACACCCAGTGTTGGCCTTCACAGAAAGGGGGAAAGAGGCATTTTGACAATGGAAGCAATGTAGCAAAACTTCAAGTTATATTTGAAGAGCCTTGCCTAAATGTGGTTAGCAAAGCAAGCTTATTCCAATTACTGTGTTATCTTTACACCTGTGTCTAGGAAATACATTCTTGTGTTTAAAAGCAAATTAGCTTCCATCTTGGAAATACGCATGTCTCTAGTTTATAAATAGTTGTTTCTTTCATTTCTATAAATGCTGGTTCTTATTTTTCTCTCTCTCTCAAATGTAACAGCTAGCCTATAAAACTAGTATGTCGTATGTTACAGGTGTAATTCAAAGTAGTCTCTAATTCAAATATTATTGTAAAAGTTTGTGTTAGCTTTCCTTTACTATAATACATACCTGACATAATCAACTTACAGAGAGAAAAGGTCTATTTGGCTCACAATTTCAGGGACTCCAGTCCATGACTGGTTGGCCCAATTGTATTTAAAGATGTGCCGGGCAGCACATCATGGTAGCAGCATGTGGCAAAGCCACTCAGGTCAGGGTGAGCCAGGGCGCAAGGGACAGAGGAAGGACCCATCCCACACTCCCCTTCAAGGGCATGTCCCAACCACCCAAGGCCCTCCACCAGACCCTACAGAGTCACCCTTTCCTCCCAACAGCACCTTCCTTGGGACAAGACCCCACTACCTGAATTTTTAAGATCCAAGCTTCAACAAGGCTGTAATTGTACACTTCATCCTGAACTGTCTGGTTTATTTGAATGGAATTTTTTTGGGAAAACTTCCAGATTAAGTCCTAAGAGGTGCAGGATAAAGTAGAGGGAAACCCTCTAAAACAAAGTGTCCCTAAGGTGCAAGTTGGGTGAATTACTTAGACATTCTTGAAGCACAGTTTTATTTCAAATATTACTTTAAGTTGAAGCACTGTTTTCTTTCTTCCCCAAAGATATGTTCTCCCAAAGAAATGATTCAAAATATGTTCTATTAAATGACTGTAAGGTAGACTTTTCAAGATTAATTTCAAAATACATTAAGTTGCAAAATCTCCTTTGTCAGTTTATTATGATGTATATTTCAAACATTATGAAGTGATTTTTCCTCAAACTGCTTTATTCTTCTCTTCTGTATGCAGATATTAAATGTCACTTAAATACTTACTTCCCAAAATTACTGAAATGACATTTTTGTGGCCCACCTCACTTACACCTCATTTATTAACTTATAGATTGAGTGAATTGTTCCCTGGAACAGCTTGTTTTGGTGATTTAATTATACCAAACTGAAATCCCAAACTGATTCAAATGGGCTTTCAGATGACTTCATTTTCAGAAGGCATTTTTTGCCACCAAGAAAAAATAATTTTCAAAATGATGATCTCAGTGGACTTTCTCCATGTTTTACATAACTACTCAATATCTCGTTATCTAAATTTGGGAAGCAAATGCAATGCCATTAGTAATGTTTGCAATCAAGTCTTAAATAAGGCATACCTCAAATTTTAACACAATGACAAATGTCAAATCAGTCTAATGTTATCAATCATTAACATCAAATGTCTTTTAAAAATAAAGGTTAATGGAATATTCCAATAATGCTTAAAAGACAGACTGATAAATGTAGACATATCATTTTCTAAAGAAGAGGTATATGATACTGCTACTTAAAAATGCAGTTTTGGGCAACAAGGAAATTAGAAACAGGATCATAATAAAACTGAAGAGACAGTAAAGAATGCAAACAAACCCCTTTTAACTGGGCAAAATGAATGGAAAGACGATAGAAATCAGGTCAGAAGAGCAGAGGAACTGGGCTAGAAGACAGCACCCACTTCCCTGCTGTCTTCCACGTTCTTTTCACTGGAGAAGAACACAGCTGGGGACTGATAAAACGAAACCCACTAGGATATACCCTGAACGGCCCTTGGTACTGAACGACACAAGAGGCACATTTCAAAATTCTGCTGTACTGCAGCAGTACTGGGATGATGTAGCCCAAAGAAACCTGCTCATCACAGCATAAGGCTAAGCTGTGACACCTCGATCCCTAAACCAACAGCGGCTGGGTCTGCAAGAAAGACCAGGCAGATCTGTGAACAAGCACATGTGGCTCCTCCAGACCCACATGGACAGTGGAGAGGGAAGTTCACTACACAGTCTGCTCAGGCTTGTTTACTCCTTAGAGTGATTCTAATGATCAAAACGTGTTCCTGGCACAGGAACTACCCTTACTGATATCTTGTGATAGATATATTCCGATCTCTTACTCTTGTAAAATATGATCACATAGTTGCTCTTATTAGGAAGTACTTTGGATAGCTTATCTCTTTTCTCCATAAATTGATGTATCTGAGGATAAAAACAACTTGCTACCTAATAAAAATGTCACCATCTGGTGGCGACATTACAAACTGCAAACATAATTCCTACACCTCTTGAATAATAAAAACACATAATCTTCCAAACTTCCAAAAGTAGTGACTGTCAGAGGCAACTCATTCTGAAGACAGAATTTCTCAGAATATAATAAAGGAGAACTTGGTTATGCATCTCTTGGAGGCTTTCTTAACATGATCCTACAGGGTTGGATTTCACAGATTTCCTCTTAATTTCTGTACTTTTCCATTAATTCCATTCATTTCTTCACTACAATAGATGACTAGTACACATTACAAATTATTCTAGTTACTTGGAATTGTAACTGGGAAGAAAAACAAAATACATACATAAATATACATATTCTGTGAGTCGAGGAACTGCAGTTGGTGAACACAGACCACATAAGCCTGCCTCCCTCTTGACACAACTGCAAGTTCACAGGGTTCTGTTTGAATATTCACTTGATGGAGTCATAGAACTCATGGGAAACTACATTCATGGTTATGGTTTATTATGGGCAAAAGATTACAAATTGAAATCTGCCAAGGTTAGAAGTTTTATAGAGCAGAATCCAGGAAAACTAAGTGTGGAATCTGTGTTACACTTTTCCTGTGGTGTCATGGACAGCAATACTTCCCTGGCATCAGTGTGCGACAACATATGCAGAATACTGCCAACCAGGAAAGCCATCTGAAACTGAGTCCAGTGTCTTTAATGGGCTTCATCACAGTAGGGGCAGAGGTAAGCATGATGGACTGCTCACCAGACTGATGCTAGTTTCCAGCCCCTTTGAAGGTCAAGCCAGCAAAAAGTTGCCCAAAGCCCCCACTATCAATCACATCATTACTGTCTGTCTGGGCCAAGGCCCTCAAAGATAGCCTGATCAAGCATGACATTGCAGGGCATTAGAGACTACATCTCTCTGGATAAGATCAGGTTCTTTACTACACATTACATATATACATATATAAATGGTACCAACATATAGTGATCCCATTTAAAAATTTTGACTTTATGAAAAATATGCAAAATCCATACACATTCAGCAGAAACTATACTTCTAATTTTCTGACCTTTCTCCAGGCTAGTGAAACATGGTAGGTTAATCTCTTGAGAAGCTGGGAGGCATCACTGTGCTGGAGTGCCCAGTTAGCCTCAGGATCCTCAGGCAGACAACGGGACTTGGAGGGTCGAGTTGCTAAGCTATGACATTTGGCAAGTTAGGAGCATCAAACACATTTTCAGCTTAGGATATACTCAATTTCTGATGGATTTATTTGGATATAACACCATCATGAGTAGTGAATGTGTATGTGTGTATGCATGTGAGCATGCATGCATGTGTTAAGTACCAAGGAGACCAACTAAAAGCAGAATCAGGTAGTAAGTGCTGAGGAAAAAAAATTAGAGTAAAGGAAAATACTGAGTGCATTTTCTAATAATTCAGTCAGGAAAGGTTCATGAATAAGAGACTCAAAATAGGATGCATACTATGATTCTCTCGGGAAATCCTAGCCCAGCAAAGAGAGCCACAAGTTTCTGGAAGCAGGAGGGTGCTTGTGGATGCTGTGGAACCATCCAGGAGGTCAACACAAATATAGATAAGTGAGAGAGGGATAGAGTTCTGGAAGGTGGAGGCAGACTGGTGAGGAAGGGAAAGGCAGGTCAGTAGCGCCCTGTAGACTAGGTATGGACCTTGGGTCTTATTCCAGATGTGGTCCCAGATGGACATCTGTAACCGTCTCAACTAGTAAAATGCTGTGTGACTTCTGAGGTTAGTTAATGCCAAACATTTCCTCCTTGCTCTGTGACACCTGCTCTTAGAACCCAGCTCTCATGCTGCAAGGCTCAAAGGAGGTCACACAGGGAAGCCAAGGGAGGGTCTACAAGGAGGCCTCCCAGCCCACAGCCAACCAAGCTCCAGCCAAAGCCTGCAGGCACCAGCAGATATTCCAAGGAAGATGACTCCAAATGATTCTAGATGCAAACTAGCAAGCCTTCCAAAAGAGATACCACCTGTCTTGCAGCAAGAAAAAACTCTCTTCTCTATGCCTTGTCCAAATTCCTGATGCATAAACTACATAAGCATAATGATTGTTTTTACACCGAATTTTCAGGTGGCTCACTGTACAAAAAAAAAAAAAAAATACTTGTAACTGCACTTTAGAACCTTCCTCCCCACACACGTAGCTTAGAAGAGATGCAGAAGCTGCTTACTACTGCTCAAGAGATGAGGAGGCAGGTGATGATCTAGCTAGTGTTTTTGCCAGACAGATTGCTGAGATGAA